ATAGGTTATAATAGATTATGCAGTGCTGACTAACAAGATATATCTAGTTCTATTAAGGTTTCCAACTTAGCTAAGATTCTCATTAAAGTAGGGTGCCACCAGGCAGAGCATCATACATTCAGTTATTTCCCTCTATACTACATATAAAGCTCAGATAAAGACGAGCTATATACAGGGTCATATGCAGAGGATATGCACGTTATTCAATGACTGCAACTACAGTGATATCTGGTATGGCTATTCATGTCATACTATATATTGTGCATCTTATTGTGAACGGCTGGGGTCACTGCCAGCTCCAGCCCAGCGCAAACCCTGAGGTAGTGTGGTCGTGTTCCATGCCCAGGCGTGGGGTGAGTCCCTTGAGATTACCCCATGAGTTCCACTTGGTCCTAATGTCCCGGTTGCTGGGGAAGTTTGCCATGTCTTGATGTGTTGTCGAGGGCTGTAGCACCATGCGGTCAGTGGGTAGAGCTGAGTGTCCTGTTTGTTCTTCCAGCCCAGGTCGTTAGTGGAGCTTGGTTGTAGAGTGCACTTCTGGGGTTGCCGCTTTGAGATGGGCATGTGGAGGAAACGCTGGCTGTGATGGTTCTCGTCTGTCAGCTTGTGTGTTCCAGGGCTGTTACGTGGGGGCTTGAGAGCCCTCAGGGACCCCCAGTGATAGCAGGTTGTGAACACAGAGGGATCACCTTCTGTCGGTGCAGTTGCTTTGCAGCCGTCAGCCATTTTGGTGAGACCGCGTGGGAGCCTCACTCCAGCTTTGGGCCATCCAGGTGAGATGCTTAGGCGTTAGCCCGCCTGGTGGGGACCGGGATGACCCCCCCGGCCCACGGGGGGGGGGAAACGGGACCAGGAAGGCACCAAGTAGATGGTGATTCACTGCAGTCGGGGTGGAGAGCGAGGCAGCGGCCGTCTGCCCCACTCCCCTCCCGGGTAGGCCTCAATCCCCGAGCGCCAGAGTCTCTCACCAGGACCTAGAGCCACCCTGTGGCGGGCGCTCCAGCTACACCGGGACACTCCAGAGCTTCGTGTCATGGACCCCCTGGTCTGTATAAGTCGGGTAAAGTGGGTATATTGCTTATTTTCCGTTGTTTGCTCGGGAGCCCGTGTGATATGCAGCCTGCTGGCATGGCCGCCCGGCCCCGCCCCCAAAGAAATAACCTTTTAATCTCTGGTTACAGAAATACATGTTGTTGGTTGCTGAATAAGCAATATCGTGTTTAGCTGATGTGATCTTGTCATGTTACTTTTGCTGTAACTTCTGTCTATAAATATGTTTGTCTGACCATTAATACACTGGTAGTAGCCCAATTTGAAACACGTTGTCTGTGTATCACTGAAAGGATCTCCTCAAACGTTCGGTCCAAAAGTTAGGTGCATGGAACGCTTTGCCCAGCAGTGTAATATATCTCCAACAGTAACCGAATGAAACAGTGTCAGAACTACAGGGATCGCTGAGGTCACAAGAGGGTCCAGGAGGAGGCCGGCTGTATACTTAGGGCCCCCCCGAGATAGTATATATCCACTAAGGCAGAGTAGGCACCTGGATCCATAATACCAGTAGTAGTCAGACACCCAGACCCCTAATACTTATCACCAGATTGTGTAAGTCTGTGACTGTAAAATCACCATCTTATTAGAGAAGACCGTGGCCTATAATTTCCAGCATCATGCGTGATTTCATAACATTGAACCCATCATCATGGCATCCACCAGGGCAGGTGCAATTATATATGGCTAGACACCAATTATTATTATTATTATTATTTATAAAGCACCAACAAGTTCCGTAGTGCTGTACAATGGGTGGACTAACAGACACGTATTTGTAACCAGACAAGTTTGATGCACAGAAACAGAGGGATTCCTCATGTTAGAGGGAGTGGGGTAGGGTAGAAAGTAGGTTGCTTGGATAGTATTCACTGAATTATCAATGAACATGTACTGTGAGACCAGTCATGCCCAGTAGTACTGCAAGGCTTGTGACATGACAGTAATTATTATGGATCACGTATCACATGTATATAAACATAATCAATTATTGGAGTTCCAATGCTCCTGATTTAAAGCTCTGTTTGATGTGTTTTATACACATTAACATCAAGCTAGAATTTACTTGGACACACTCCATTCATGATATATTCCTAGGGGTGCCCTTGTAATCCAGTTAATATCAGAGTTACAGAAAACCGGCAATGTAGCTGAGTTCTTTATTTGGAGAGTCCTAAAGAGACTGTGTTTATTGATTCAACTCCTGCTGTAGTTATTTTTGTTTCTACCCCTTGATCCGCTCATTTTAAGATTTGTTCTGTTCCCACAACTGAAAATTGCACGCCTTCCATGTGACTCGATGAATAGTATTCTTATTATTGCAATTTATATAGGAACTACTAGTTACATGTGACCCAAATGATCACTAAACCAGCAACTGTACAGAGCTGGCATTAATAAAGCTTTATAGTCAGGGTTTGTCCAAGGTAGCAAAGTTATATGAAATTCACAAAGATTTATGTATCTTATGGATTCCCGGAGATGCGAGGGACAGTAAAGTATTAACGTCCTTAAATTAACATTCAACACACCCAAGGCACTTTGGCTTTATGAAGTGCTTTATGTGTGAAGAGTGTGTCCCTATTATTAATAATACAAAAAGTACAGATTTCAGTAGAAATGGTCACTTTTATAAATGTAACATGTTACACCTCTTTGGCTGTCAATCAGACAACTGGTCCTGTTACTTCCTGGTTGGTTTAGCAGACAATTGCTCAGAGCACCTGCCTTGAGCTGCATTTGGAAGTCTGTGATTGGACAGATTTAAAACATCTGGGCTGTGGAAGCAGGGGAGGGCCTGTAAAGAGATATGCAGCATTTCCTAGCTGTTTTTAGACATAATTAAAATGAAAAATGCATTATTGAATGTTTTAATTGGGGGTGTACCTACTAAGCTGTAAAAAAAGTTTTGTTTTTCTAATTGGCATGTGTCTTTAAATCTATGTGCCACTCTCAATCTGCTATCTGTGAGGCTGTTGGTGGTTCCCAGGTGGACAGACCAACTGCTGTCTGAATTGTAACTGTTTTATGGACTTTACAACAACCATAGACAGACTATAATGGGCTAATACCATATAGCTATTATTCATTAGTATACTATATAATATATAAATATAAGTGCAATATGTTAGTATATAATGGTACCATTACATAAATGTCCTTTTACTGAAAATAAATCTGAAATTGTCCAGTTATATAAAGAGCTCGACTCCTTGTTCTTTTCAACCATTGTAGTTCTCCCTGTATCCCGATCCTTCAAACCCCTGATTTGATATGGTATTTGGATTCACCTTTTATAAAACAGGTCAGGTCGGATTCTAGGCACGTTTCATTCTGGTATTTAAGGTTAAATTCACTGACTACACATGGGGCTGGTATCAAAGGTTACTTCTTCAATCTAGGTGTTACCTTTATCTGTCTATGTTTTACGAGTACCTCTATATCGTTATTTAAAATATACCCCACTCATTAGGATTGCAATTTGAGGCAGCGTATTCAATTTATGACCAATCAATAAAGTACATATTCAAACCTCCTCTACATTTACGTCAGCCAAATATATTCAATATTTACAAAATCCTTCGGAACATTCCGCAACGCTATACATATCACATTGTACATTGCTTGATATTATGTATGTACTGTAAAAGTTCATCAATACAATACCATGTCATGGCACACAGGCACATTAATAGATGTGTTATATTGTTATATCTATACATCCATATTCACATATATACACTTCATACAAACATACAACAATGCACACGTGTGTATATCCCACATGGTGTTTCTAAAACCAGGAATTTTCCACAATTCCTAGTTTTGCAAATAAACTTTTTAAAGAGTCTTCTTCTTAATGACATATTTATCATTACAAATCTGTTAATCATTTTAAAGTTCTCAATCTACAAATACAAATAAAACTGTAGGTGGTTATTAGCTTAATCAGGGTGTCTGGGTATAATGGGAAAGTATAGTCCATAAACATCTGGGGTGCCACGATTAGCCATATTGCATGAGATCCACAGGCAGGAATGTTCAAACAGAGGTCTATGGTTTCCATAATATATGGATACATTGTGTGTATCATTATCCAAGGTTCTCAGAGCCAAAAATCACTACGTTCCTCCCTCTCCTCACCTGTTGTTATACATATCTTACAAGTAAAAGAGCATAACGTGTAATGGTGTAACTTTCACGTTTAGTTCCACAAAATCCAAACAGATATTCATTATGGAAAGATTAGCAAAAAATAAAAAAAATGCCATAAATCAATAGAAAGTCCGATTGGCGAATGAGTAGCTGGAGAACAGGTAGAGTCCATTTCTAGCCCTCTGTTTAGACTGCCAGATTCTGCGTGATTAGGTTAATGGTAATTAAAAATAACCATGAGTATATTAGTTAAGGTGGTTGTACCTTATATAGAATGTCAGTGGGGAAATTGATATTTCAGATTGAAACACTACAATGCTTTCATATATGAAATATGAGGCAATGCGTCTCAGTTACCCTCTCTTTTTACAGACAAAACCAGAACACTAGGTCTGTAGGGGCCCAAGTTTTATTGCCATTCCAAAGGGGTAATGCTTAAATGATGGGCTATTGATGACCCCAGAGCACTGGTTTGAGGAGCACAGGTTTAGGGGATGAATGGATAAGAATTAATTTGTGTCATATTGGTGCACTGACTATGCTACAAGCTCTTATAAATAGAACAGACATTCTTTGACTTTGTCATCTTTGATTATATTGCTTGTCTCTTGGTAAAACTTAGGCAATGTTCTAAACATGTTCATATATCTCAAAACTTACTAACATAAATATAAGGTAAAGATCAGATCATATGGGGGTGGGTGGATAGAAGGGGCTCTCAACCGGTGCTTCAACGTTGCGTTTTGCCCGAAATATCTCCTCTTCTTTTTGCACCTCTACCCCTTTCTAGTCACCAGGAGCACAGTAAAATGTCCCTTAATGTCTTCCTCAGCTCTCGACTCCTGAAGGCATAGATTATGGGATCAATGACAGAGTTACAGATGATGAGGATGATGTAGAAGTTAAAGAATTTGAAGTAATTAATACAGAGAATGTGTTTAGGACATGACAATATCAAGGTGAGATGGAGGAAGAAGGGGCCCCAACACACAAAAAAGATGCCCAACAGGATGGAGAGAGTAACTGCACCCTTCATGTTTACTCTGGAATGTGGTACCATAACCCTTCTCATCGTTCCCATTTGCAAAGTAGTGATGCTCCGTGCGTGGCGTCGTGCAAGGGCAAACATGTGAATATACAGAGCTACCATCAAGACCATCATGAGGACAAAGAAAACTATAAGACAGAGAATGACTTCTTTTTTCTCCGAATAGATGATAAAAAGTACACTACAGACTGTGCTGAACAGCCAGATGCCACTGATGACTATTAACACTCTGCGGTGTGTCATGATATTGTGGTAACGAAGGGCATAGAAAATTGTTATGTAACGGTCTACAGCGATGGCTGCGAGAAAGGACAGAGAAGACACTACAGAGCAGCAGATCATCATATCGAAGATGTTATCCACCTGGATTTCCGTTTTCCCGTCAACCACTATGACTCCATAGTTTCTCAAAAACATGTACATGGACTCCATTAGATGGCTAATACTGACCAACATGTCAGATACAGCTAGACAGCAAAGAAAATAGTACATTGGGGAGTGAAGGTTGTGGTTCTTCAAAATGGCTACCACGACCAGGATGTTCTCTACCAGAGTGAACAAGCACAGGGCCAGGAATATCTCTTCCGGGACATGCACAGAAATAAAGGTTTGGTTGGCTACTTGTTCAGAAACATTGGACAGGTTGTAGTTGGTGGAGTTTATCGTCAAGCCTGGTCCTCTTAGTGAGGACATAGTGAGCGGTGACCTGCAAGTCAAAAAATAGAATTAGAGAAACACAAAAAGGCCATGGTCCTTAAATTGTCCTAAGACACAACTTTCAAATGTTGACCGTTCATAGGAAAAAACAGCACTGGCTAGAAATGGAACAGGTCCATACACCAGAGTTGTGATGGTTGGGAGATACAATGGGGCATAACCCCTAGAAATACAATGAAAAAGAGGACTAATAGGTCATACTCGATTTGTTTCATTCACTGACATATTGTATTTATGCTTTATCACACCACATTCATACATTGTTATATTCATACACCAACACATTCCATACATAGTAACATTTATACACTGACACACTACATACATAGTTACGTTCATACACTGACACACTTCATATATTGTTACACTCATGCATGAACACTACATGCTTAGTTACACTCATACGCTGACCCATTCCATACATAGTAACATTCATACTCTGACACACTACATTCATTGTTACATTTATACACTGACACACTACATACATAGTTACATTCATACACTGACACACTTCATACATTGTTATATTCATACACCAACACATTCCATACATAGTAACATTTATACACTGACACACTTCATACATAGTAACATTTATACACTGACACACTACATACATAGTTACGTTCATACACTGACACACTTCATATATTGTTACACTCATGCATGAACACTACATGCTTAGTTACACTCATACGCTGACCCATTCCATACATAGTAACATTCATACACTGACACACTACATACATTGTTACATTCATTCACTGACACACTTCATACATTGTTATATTCATACACCAACACATTCCATACATTGTAACATTCATACACTGACACACTACATACATAGTTACATTTATACACTGACACACTACATACATAGTTACATTCATATGCTGACCCATTCCATACATAGTTACATTCATACACTGACACACTACATTCATTGTTACATTTATACACTGACACACTACATACATAGTTACATTCATACACTGACACACTCACACATTGTTATATTCATACACCAACACATTCCATACATAGTAACATTCATACACTGACACACTTCATACATAGTTACATTCATACACTGACACACTTCATACATAGTAACATTTAAATATGGACACATTACACACAAAGTTACATTCATACACCGACACACTTCATACATAGTAACATTTATATATGGACACACTACATACATAGTAACATTCATACACTGACACACTACATTCATTGTTACATTTATACACTGACACACTATATACATAGTTACATTCATACACTGACACAATCCATACATAGTAACACTTATACACTGACACCCTACATACATAGTTACGTTCATACACTCACACCCTTGATACATAGTTACATTCATACACTGACACACTGCATACATTGTTACATTCATACACTGACACAATCCATACATAGTAACACTTGTACACTGACACACTACATACATAGTTATATTCATACACTGACACATTCCATACATTGAAACATTTATACACGGACACACTACATACATAATTACATTCATACACTGACACATTCCATACATAGTTAAATTCATACACTGACACACGCCACACAGCTACAGTCATACACTGACACATTCCATACATAGTTACATTCATACACTGACACATTCCATACATAGTTACATTCATACACTGACACACACCATACATAGTTACATTCATTTACTGACACATGCCATACATAGTTACATTCATGCACTGATACATGCCATACATAGTTACATTCATGCACTGATACATGCCATACATAGATACATTCATACACTGACACATTCCATACATAGTTACATTCATACACTGACACATTCCATACATAGTTACATTTATACACTGACACATTCCATACATAGTTACATTTATACACTGACACACGCCATACATAGTTACATTCATACACTGACACACACCATACATAGTTACATTCATGCACTGACACATGCCATACATAGTTACATTCATACACTGACACACAATATACATAGTTACATTCATACACTGACACACAACATACATAGTTACATTCATGCACTGACCCATGCCATACATAGTTACATTCATACACTGACACACATCATACATAATTACATTCATACACTGACACATTCCATGCATAGTTATATTCATACACTGACACACTGCTTTCATGAATTCTTACCATATTACATGAAAATGGCGTGCACATTATACACCCTTCTGAATTAGTAATAGTACATTTTAAAGATTTTTCTCAAGAAGTTTAAAAAATATGTGAGTTCACAACTGGTTCCTGAGAATAAGCCAGGGTATACAGAAGTAAATGGGAGCCTTTTCTCCTTTTGGGATGTAGAATATATGTAGCCTTTGAGCTATAGCGCTGTTTGGATGCTGTGTGTCAGATTAGGTAATATAAGAGAGTTTACTTATTGGAGCTGCATCCTTTGTTGGGGGTGATTTACAATATATTGGAATAATACAATTACTAGGAATCTTTCTTTGAAAGTCAATGTGTTCACTAAAACCACTATTTAAACATTTCCCCACCATACCATCCAGCTTTACTCACACACCATTTGCCCTTTGTATTGGTGTCAATACATGTGTATAAACTATTTAAACCACTGTTAAAATGAAGAATGTCAGGTTCTCTTTAATCCCATATAAAATGTAGACAATTCTTCTATATCAGATGATATTCATTAACCATACGTGACGGTTGGTTATTATCTGCTTGTCATCTGGAGGGAGAATTCTCACAGCGTTAGTAAATCAGTCGCTAGAGCTGCGTTGCCCCGCTGGCTCTCTGAGGGTTAATCCCCTTTCTTTTCTATTTATGTAATTGTGTATTTTGTTTTCTTGCTAGGACTTGTGGGGAAATGACCAGATTAATACTGTTATATTACCCATTGTACAGTGCGATGGAATCTGATGGCGCTATATAAATAATAAAATAATAATAATTACCCCAGCTATATTTATTGTGGTTTAATTTGTGCAGTTACCTTGTCAGCTCACCACACAGTATTGTTTAATTAACAAAGTATTAGACAGGATATAAATCTGCACCACAAGTACTGCTGCTGTACAACACCCATCATTCCTTGCGAGCCAGAGTCCGCAGGGAGTTATGGGAGCTGTAGTCCGGTAGTTTCCCCGCAGTTTTACTTCTCTGTAATACGTCCTTGTTTAGTGTTATGTCCTTTTTTTAAATTCTGCAGGTGGATAAAGCAGTATGGATGAGGTGCGGGCAAGATGTATAGACACAGTGAAAACCTCCCTCAACCCTTCAATCAGTATTGGCAGAGATCTAAAAAGAAAATCTGTGATAAAACAGAAAAAAAAAAGTTTATTACCTTACTGTCGGATCACAGTGTACGATCAGTGTAATCAATGTCTTCAACCTGCTTCTTCGGACTAAGGTACAGAGCAGAGAGATCTTCGTTTATCCGGGAATGTAGGTTTAGTTCTTAGGGATCCTCGTCCCACTATTAAAATCCGCTGGCTTGTAAGTTGATTTAAAGTTATTTTCTCAGAAAGAGTGCTTAGACGTGGCACAGTTACATTCGATGCTTCAGACATACCAATCTGATGTGATTGTCTTTGCTTGGCTAGGTATCGATGTAGTATCTCCTTTTCCAATCTATCTGTTCGTCCACTGGCCCTCCCCGTTCTCTGACAGAATATATTGTGATATCAGAGCATGCTGTGATATCAGAGTGGTCCCAGGCTCTCATCCGTAACCTCCAGCACCTTCTTCCAAGTATGTCAGTCAATGCACCCTGTACTAGTTCTTAGTACATCCTTGGTAGGCATGCCAACCCTCAAAGCTTAGTTTGCGCTCCCAGGACTGCCGTGTCCCTTCTTCGGAGGTTGGAGAAAAATAATGCAACTTTTCCCTGCTTAGTCCTTAAAGGCATCTGATCAGCCCCTCCTAATAAGCAGGATGGATGCACACATGACTAGTGAGGCCAGAGGCTGTGACAAGTTATGAAACTTCACATAGGATGCAATAAAGGTTCTCCACCCTTAACTTTCAAAACAAGCCACAAAAATACATATATATTGATCAGATAGTCCCAAACGGGTCACCAATAAGATTTCCATGTACTGGGGGCACCAAATTGAATATACATATTTAGTAAATGGCATTGTTACTGCTTATTCAGACATAACCAAGCTCTCCATTTACATTCTGAAACTGCCCACAGTAATGCAAAATTCAGTAATCATCAAATTCATTGATTCATAAGTGAGAATAGAACACTCAGCACAAATTCTAATCAGAAAATTTTAGGAATCCGTTTATTTTTTTTATACTTTTTTATTAGGTGCTAAATAAAAAAACTCATTAAAAAAAATCCTTAAAAGGGCTCTGTCAACTCCTGAGGTTTTTGCATAGTTTGCAAAGACTCCCGATGGTGACATCGCCGGTCTGCGTGGTGTTCCAGGGGCGCAGCGGAGGTCCCCCTGGGCACTGTTATCTTCTGTCTTCGGCTCCTGGCGCGTCATTCATTCCATAGATACTATCAGCGCGACAATGACCTTTTTCCACAGCTGTCAATGATGTCCAGAGGAACTGACAGAACTTGACGGTAACAGCTCCAATTTTTGTTAAGTTTTATCAGGTGTAGGAAAAATACCCTACAGTCCCTACTTTGTATTACGATGTCCTTTAATTGTGTGAAAATCCAACACAGTCAGTTTGAGTATTTTATAAAGATTTTATTTTTATGAAAAACGTAAATTGTGTTTTGTTTTATTGTTTTAACTTGTTAACGGACACAATCTCAATTAATGAAAGCCAATATATATACACACTACCTAAATTCAGCCTCGGGATGGGAATGAAAAGCAGCCCTGGAAAGAAATTCTATACCAGCCCCGTAATGCATCGCGCCAGCATAGTGTGCAGATATGGATGCGGGAAAAAAACTGAAAATGGAAAACTATCACTCACTTCATAATAAACAAAAGAGCGGATTTATTGTAAGCAGACCTGCATTTGCATATAATCAATGTTTCAGTCCATTTTCTTATAGATATATTAAGGAAAGTTTGGTCATTTGGACTGAAATTGTAAATGTATGTTATGGCACAGCAGTAAAAAAAATGACATTATCTTGTTTATTTTTAAGTAATAAGAGTGTGCTCTTCACTTTGGCTGACAACTGGCAACACCAATTTAATTCCCATAGGAAAGCATTGGGAGGCTATTTCGCATGTGTGGCAAAACGCTGTGCTTCACCACACCAATCAGCATCTCCTCATAAATTGCTTCATTGCATCTCTATGGGGAGCATTCAGTGCCTCCATGCAGAGAGTGGAGATGCTCAACATAGGTGCTGCACACTGTGCAGCCCTGGACTAGGAAGCAGCTCTAGTGGCCGTCTGAGTGACTGTCACTAGAGATGTTCCTAGGCAGCAATGTGAACACTGCCTTTTCTCTGAAAAGGTAGCATTTACAGTGCTCAGCATACAGGGACAGGCTATAGACACCAGAACCACTACATTAAACTGTAGAAATTCTGGTGACGTTAGTGTCCCTTTAATACGAAGTCTTTCTCTCACCGGCCGACTCTGAGTTACAGGGAGAGCAGGAGACACAAGTGAAGATGCATTTTGGTTTTTTATTTAAAAATTTTTTTATTATTTTGTATTTTTGCAGTGCATGAGAAAATAACAGCAAGCCTGAGGTACCCCAACGGCAATTCTCAGGTTTATAGTCATGCATTACATTTGGGGTGAACAGGGAGAAGATGCACAATTTTATATTTTTAAACAGGCTATTAATATGTCAAGTTAGAGCTTAGAATACGTGTTTGCTAGCTGACATCACCTTCCGAATAACACACCATTGAAAAATACAGAACATGGTATACGCCCAGTGTAGAAGCGCATTTAGAGTGAGGTATAACTTGCTACCATTAACTAAGGCATGTCACTGAGTGCTTGATGCTGGGTATACTAAGCCTATTGTGTAGGTAGATTAGTATCTGCAAATAACATGCGAGACCCACTAATGTTGCTGAGTTTAACCACTAATGTTGCTGAGGTTAATGTGATGGCTAAGGTGATGAGATACTAAAAAAATAAAAGAAAATAAACAGGCATTAAAACACGCTAAACCATATTTAACGCTAGCTCCTCTTTATGGCCACTGGGTACTAAACGTCCTGAGATTACTTAAAGAGAAGATGTCGCTGCAGTAGAGCTGTAAGTTGTTTCTGGGTAGTCATTCGGCCAATACCGCAGATGGGCCAGCGAAGACCATCAGACCTCCCGTCCGGTGGGTCTGCTCTGCTCCCAGTCAGGAGAGGCCGTGTGTTGTGCCAGGCTCTGTGTTTGCAGATCGCAATTGGTGTGCTACGCCTAGGCTTTCCACCTTCCTGAGCACAGGCTTTAGGGGGAGCCCTTGCCGCGTTTCCAGGGACCCTCTGTTTTATTTTGGCGGGGTCACGGGCGTCGGGGAACCCTCCGGGTATCTGGGCGGCTAGCTGGCTGTGTCACCAGGTGGGCCCCCAGCCCAGTGCAGGATCCGTGGTCCGATGTGTCTTCTCGATAGGTCAGTGAAACTCGTGGGCTTCGGCTCTCGATGCATTGCCAGAACGCATTGCACAGTTGGTTAAACCTGGCTTCAAAGTTTTCCCGCCAGGTCTGGATGTCCGATCCCTTCCTGGCATGTGGAGGCTGTGGTTTAGTGGCCATCTTGTGTTCGCTATGCGTGCTCCGGTTTTGAGAGGTTCCGTTGTTGCAGGGAGATGCTTGCCCCCAGTGGAGACCGGGATGTCCCCCACCGGTCCTGAGGGGGGGCGGCTGCCCATCTGGGTTGTCGCTTCTCAGTGAGCGTCCCGGGTCGGGAGATCGGCCGCCTCCCCCGGTTCCCAGGACGTCGTTCTCGCTAGGCCAGGCATAGTTGTTCCCCCACTCAAGGTATGATGGGGCATGATAGCAGTGTAGGCACCAGAGGAGGGCTTGGGGAGGAGGAGGAGGATAATTTGAAGGAATTGGGGGCATGGTGAGATACAAAGGGTGACTGCAAAATAAGTAGACTTACCAAACACTCACCAAACTTTTACATACTGGGGGGAGGGGGTGGGGGCGGCATCAAGGCAAGTGCCCTCAGAATGTCCTGGGAAGCTGCTGTCCAAATTATCTCCTCTCTCAGACCCCTCCCATCCCCCCTCTAGGAATATAAAACACAGCTACTCCCTTAGATCTGCATCCCTTAAACAAGCTGCAGGGGCTAAAGTCAGCAGCACCTCCGCCCCCAGCTTCAACCATGTGGCCATGCTGACCGGAACAAGCTGGGAGACTAGGAGCAACTTGCAGCTCTTCAACCCCAGCAAGGGGTGAGAGACAGCGGTCTTGTGTGTGCTAGTGTGCTGTGTGTAGTGACCTTCTGTGTGCATGTTGTGAGCTGTGTGTGTGTGTGTCAGTGAGCTGTCTGTAGTGCACTGTGTGATCTTGCATAATTGGGTATATTAGTGAGCTGTCTGTAGTGCACTGTGTGATCTTGCATAATTGGGTATATTAGTGAGCTGTCTAGTGCACTGTGTGATCTTGCATAATTGGGTATATTAGTGAGCTGGTGTGTAGTGAGCTGTTTTTATTGAGCTTGTATGTATCCAAAAGCTTTCTGCAGTGAACTGTATGTCCTGATTTTTCTGTAGTGAGCTTGTGTGTCTGTGGCTGAGCTTGAGAATATGTCAGTGAGCTTGTGTGTAGTGACATTGTGTACATATCAGTGAGCTGTCTGTGGTGAGCTTGGGATCTTGTGTGTGTGTGTGTGTGTCAGTGAGCATTCTGTAGCGTGCTGTGTGTAGTGCGCGTGTGTGCACATCAATGAGCTGTCTATAGTGAGCTCTGTAAGTTTGTGTGTAGTTAACTGTTTGTGCATTTACACCCTACTGGAAGTATGTATATTCAAAACAGCACATGCATTGACGCGGACAAAGTGCAACAGTGTTTATTTATGATTGTGGCGAACCCGCCACTGGAGCTTGGAGAGGCCTGGCTGCCCGCCTCCTACCTGCTGATTATGGCCCCTGGTAAATTTGTACTTTTAATGCAATATTTGGGCATGTGATATTGTATATTGCTGCTACTGGCCCTTTAAGGGCCATCCGGGGACATATTATGACTTTTAGGAACAATACCCCTTTAAGACTTGGTAGCAGATTACAGTAAGGATTTCTTTTATATTATGTATGTTTCTGTGTGTTCGGCTAAATTGTATATGTGTATGCAGCATTCCCCTGATTGTTCGGTAGAATCACTCCATTCATTATATTGAGTGAAACTACCGAACAACCAGACCACCCTGGAATAAGTGTGCCTCCAATTACCGTTTGCAACAATGTTGCAAACGGGTAATTGGCAATCAATGTAATGTGTGGTTTTGTCCTCTGGGTAGCCGCCATTCGGGAAACGAACACGTGGCGGCGGCCATCTTAAACTCCCAAACAGCAGTGTTTTGCCATCGAGTGTCTGGAACTAAAATCGGAGAGACCGCTGAGACCTCCAGACTTCCATGAATTCGTGTGGAAACTACCGAATGACCCGCCGTTCGGTAGAAAGAACCCCACGAACAAGGGAATTCGTTTAAACCCTCCCCAGGCTCTATAACCCAGGCAATTTGTGTGTTTTCATTCCCTTTTCTTTTTTTTTTTTTTTTGTCTTTATTGTCAAAAATTTTCATACAAACAGAGCTGTACATTGAGTTAACATAGAGTACATAACATAATGAGCAGAACATGGTGTCATGTTGTGGAGCCAAGATAGTGTGAGGAATGTCGTCGGAAGAATTCTTCCGGGTCGCAAGGTATGATGTCCACATTCCATTATGCACTTATGGGTCAGTTCTGAGCAGTAAACAATATTCATCAGTAAATTTTCAAGCATTCAACATTGTGCATTAACTTCACTCTGACTGGTCCTGTCTAACTTATTTGTGTCAGGTAGGTTATAGAGATCTTAGAGGCTTTAAAGAAAGAGATAAATAAATTGAGTTAATTTTGATTTTGGCGGGGTCGTACAGGTTGGTAAGTGTAAGTTCCAGTCTGGTGGGGTTGGTAAGTGTAAGTTCCAGTCTGGGTGCTGTGGGTTCACAGACCAGGTGTTGCTGGTTGATTTGCCAACCTTTTAAGTAAGTTGGTTGGGAGTTGGTGTTCTGGAGGTCTCATCAGTTTTTAGGAAGTGTAGCCACGGGCTACAGGTGCGTTCATAGGTGTTGTAGGAGTGTGACCTCGAGTAGTGTATTTCTTCTAAAAGGCGTATGGAGTCAACCTTATTGATCCATGTCCGGATGGTGGGCGCTTCTGGTTTTTTCCAGTGGCTAGGGATGAGGGCGTTTGCCGCTGTGAGAAGGTGGTTGGTTAGGGGTTTTGTGTTCTTGGGAAGTGATGGAGGGAGGAGGAGGAAGAGTACAATTTCTGGGGATTGGGGCAGTTGTACGTTGGTGATGGTGTGAATCATCTTAATGATTTTGGACCAGTAAGTGCAGATGACCGGACACGTCCACCATATGTGGCTTGGGGTTCCCTGAGGGTGTTGGCATCTCCAGCACTGCGCGGAGGCATTCGGGAAGATTGCGTGTATTTTGGAAGGAGTAAGGTGCCACCTGGATAGTCGTTTAAAGTTCCCTTCCTGTGTGTGCGTGCTCATGTTTGTTTTGTGTACATTGGAAAACACGTGTTTCCAGTCTGATTGCGTTAGGGAGAGATTGAGTTCGGATTCCCAGGCTTTTGTGTATTTGGGCAGGACGGGCGATATTTCCGTTTGCATTAGTTTGTATAGGAATGAGAGGTGCTTCGTTTTGATATCGCTGGAGACACAGTGTTGTTCAAATGAGGTGAGTTGCCGGTGTCCCTGGAGGATATTGGGGGTGGTTGATAGGAAGTGGGTGAGCTGAGAGTGACGGAATTTTTGTAGGGTCGTAGGTTGCGTATCTTCCCAGATCGCGCTAGGGGGTCTAATTCCTTGGTCGTCAAGTAGGGTGCGCAATTGCAGGTAGTGGGTGTGTGGGAACGCAGCAAAGGAGGAAGGGGAGAGGCCCGGCGTGAAGTCCGGGTTGTAAGTCAGTGGGTAGAGGGGAGATGGGTGGGGGGATATGCCTAGTTTATTTCTTATTTGTGACCACACTTTAAGGGTGGGTATGATTGTGGGGTGTTTTGTGTGGGCTTGCAAGAGGGAGGTTGTCCCTGTTCCTTGCCACGGCATAGTGAGGAGGGGATGTTGAAAGGCAGATTTTTCAAGGAGCACCCAATGTTTGGGGTTGTTGGGGATGGTCCATTCGTAGACTCTGTGTAACATAGTAGCCTTGTAGTATAGTTCTACGTCTGGGAGGCCTAGGCCGCCGTGGAGTTTGTGGCTTGTAAGAGTGTTGTATGTGAGCCTAGGGGGAGAATGCGACCATATAAAGCGGGTGAAGGTCCTCTTAATGTCGGTGAAAAAGGATGTTGGTAGTGTAATGGGGAGGGTTTGGAGAAGATATAAAAGTTTGGGGAGGACATTCATTTTGATAATATTAATGCGGCAAAGCCACCCGAAGTGTGGCTTGTGCCACTTGGTCAGGTCACGAGAAATAGTCTGTAGCAGTGGCGGGAAGTTTAGATCGTATAAATCTGTGAGATGGGTTGGTAGGTGTACTCCCAGGTATTTGACATCCCTGGGCGCCCAGAGGTTCATTCCCTTTTCTGTGACTGACTGCAGGGCCAAAATACATGGAACTATTTTCGGATACTTTTGCCATGCAGTTGATCAAAACTTTAACCCTCCATAATTCCCGAACCCCTGGTCCGATCTTGGTGATTTTTGGATATGTGTCTCACCCAGATCAGGGCTACCAGGGGATGTAACATTTAAAGGGGTAACCCTATGTTTAGGGGTACATCCAGTAACCCAGGGAATTTGTGTCTGTACTAATGGGATTATGTGTCACACTAAGGGGAGCAGATGTGTGGGAGGTAACTGGTACATTATTGGCTGGGGTACTAATTGTTGTGGATCCCTCCCTTGCATGGGATAATGTCTTAAAAGAAGGTTGTGTAAATAAATCTGCAGTTCTGCTTGACCCTCAAAAGGAAGTGTCGTCTCGTTACTGGGGGAATCTGCTACAAAGGATTGCTATGCTATTCATACTCCCTTGCTATATCACTACTAAGCTCTTGTAAGAGCTTGTTCCTGTCTTGCTCTCTGGATGAGTCTACAGTGGTTATGGTGTCTGCTGCAGTGCTTGGAGCCCTCAGGAAGCGCTAGGAGCATCCTTCAACGGAGGTACCCAGTCGGGATGCCAGGTGATCCGTTACAATGATTATAACACTAAGATACAAACATGCCTTCATACACATACCCTCACACCATATACAAATAAAATGCACACTTATTTGAAACATAAGGGGCCCTATAGGGGATTTTGCCATGGGGCCCAGAAGGCTGTCAGTCCGCCCCTGCTGCTTGATCAAAGCTGTTTTGTGGGCATTACTGGGCAGAAGATGCCCATATTCGACTCTATGTCGCAGGAGATGAGCTGCCACACGTCTGGCCACCTTGGCTTCCAGGTCCCGCCCCCAAGATGCATTTTGTTTGTGTCTTTCTCCCCCAAGCCCCTTTCATGTGTCTCTTAGCCCCAGCCCCATTGTCTCTTTCTCCCTTTCCCTGGCCCTTCTGTGAGTCTCTTTCCCAGGCCCCAACAACTCTACAGGGAGTGCAGAATTATTAGGCAAGTTGTATTTTTGAGGATTAATTTTATTATTGAACAACAACCATGTTCTCAATGAACCCAAAAAACTCATTAATATCAAAGTTGAATATTTTTGGAAGTAGTTTTCAGTTTGTTTTTAGTTTTAGCTATGTTAGGGGGATATCTGTGTGTGCAGGTGACTATTACTGTGCATAATTATTAGGCAACTTAACAAAAAACAAATATATACCCATTTCAATTATTTATTATTACCAGTGAAACTAATATAACATCTCAACATTCACAAATATACATTTCTGACATTCAAAAACAAAACAAAAACAAATCAGTGACCAATATAGCCACCTTTCTTTGCAAGGACACTCAAAAGCCTGCCTG